TGAATAAAACTTTTCCTCTACTCGGGCGACGGACTTCGGTACGTAATATCAAGTCTCCATAACGCGCATCAATTTCGCCTAATAAACGTTTAACGATCGAACGAATTTGCAATTTTTTCAACGGCATTCGTCACACGTCAAAAATCGATCACCGATGAATGACAAAGCGGAAACTATTTTTTTCGAAGCAGAATTAAGCCAACGTTTTCACTAGCAATGGCTGGGGCGCCATCTGTGGTGACTGACACAAGTTTATGAATGCGAACATTGATTTCCAGAAGGCAAGCACAAAAGCTTCACCTCTCGTCTTGCGATGTTTTCTTCAACAGCCATCGTTCAAGACCATTCGAATAAAAAGAAATGTCGTTCGACATTCCATCTCTTGCCGACAGCTACACTCGCATTGCATATTAAACACTCTCGTTTCTTATTAACATTGATGAAGAAATATTTATTCTCAAATTTTTCATTAAAATTATAAACAAATTTTATCGATTTATTTTTATTGCCACTGCACTGAGAAGCCATTTTGTTCTCCTCCCACAACAACACTCAAAATATAAAAACTCTTTTATCTAAGAGGCACACAAACATTCGCCTAGAAACGTCAGGGCCTGCCCGACCTGCAGCTGAAGAGGTCGCCCCCCCCCCCAAGTTTGAAAACCTAAAAGCTAAGGATTGTCTCCACCGTGTGTTGTGTTTCACGGTGCATAGATTTTAACTTGGGTGTGGTCTTTCGCACAATAAGGCCAGCGATGAAAGTATCAGAAAGGAGCCGCTGCTGGTGCCCGCACATCTGCAAGTCGTCCCCGTAACAACACAACTTGTTGCCCTCGAGCTACAGGTTGAGCGCGTAAGGTCTAGATTACATTTACAGTACAGACGACGAAGACAGAGCTGATGAGAAGTGCATTTGATGTTCTCCGTCTTACCGCCTCGAAGAGTCACTGTTAACATAAGCCTGTGATGCGTACACCAATCGCGCACAGACGTCGAAAACAAATGACTGGAAGATGTATTCTACTCGACAAGCTGGCCTTGTAATCCTGGGGTCTCGGGTTCGATTCCCGGCGGTGCCCGAATTTATAACTTGTGTTGGGCAAGGCCGTGGTCTAGGCAACACGGAGTTTTCCTCCGTGGCATCCCAACAATTACTCCATTCACACACAGAAGAAGGCAATGGCAAACCACTTCTGGATCATCTGCCAAGAACGTATATGAACAGGTCCCAGTCCGAGAAAAGGATGGAAGGATCCTGTTCATATGGACCTGTCGTCAGACAGAACACTAAATAATAATAAATAACACAGACAGATAACTTCACGTTAAAATCTGTCTGAAATGTGATTATTTTCAACATATTAAAGCACATAATATTACAAAAATAATTACCGATTCTTCTTGATTCAAATAACATCTGCACGTCCTGTAGACCTAATTTTCCACTCATCCTTTCACTTTATAATAAATATTTCTATTCGTGTGTATTACAGTTTTAAAAAATATGCATCTTCTTTGTTTCCATTTAGAAAGACAATTTTATTATTTTTTGTGTGTCATATTTCTAAAGTAATAGTTATTTTCTCCAAGTATGTGTTATATATATTCCCCATTATAACCCCAATCCGAAAATAGACCACCGTTTTAGCTTTCACTTAGCTTTTTTGATATAACAGTAAGCACAAATCCTCATTCTAGACACATTAAGAAGCCCGAATGAAAAAGGGAGACAATTATAAATATCCTAAATATGGCGCCTTTAGCCCCAAAACATTCACTTGTGACAAACAGACGCCTCCACCTTGAACGTCGCATAATAAAGCGGAGGTAGGTGACTGTTCGCTCGTCTTCGTGCGATTTCATGAACGGCAATTCATTCCCCGCTCACAGACGCAGGCGCCCGCGCCAAAGACCGCAACGCCAGTCTGCAGACACTGCACTATGATGACTTATCCGACCCCGGAGCCACATCATGTGCGCCTGCGCGACTCCTCTGTGGAAAACACGAATTTCTAGCAGAAACATATTGCACGCACGTGTTTCTGCTAGGCTGTTCGCGGGGTCGTCTGGCTTTACTGCTGTCAAATTACAATACTTCTGGTGTTACAAAAATTACCAACGAAGTTCACACAATCGAGAGCAAGCTACTAGTGACTCTCAGCCTCGCATGCTCTATCTTGGCGGCGCCCCATCACGGAAGACGGGCGTACATCAGCTGGAGATCCGAACCACGTCCAAACCGCACGCTCGTATGCGTTGTCGCCCAGAAAGCCTACCGATCAAACCTAAGCAACGGAGAAGCCGAGCTCGACGCTTCCGATCTTGCAAGCGCCACTGTCCGGAGCCGGGTTCGCGCCTCTGCCTGCACAGCCAACCGAAAGACGCTGAAGGCGACGCTCCGTACGCCGGGGCAGTGGTCGGGCAACGGATTCAAGGAGTGACTGCGGGGGTGGGCTCCTTATCAGATCAAGGGCCGCTCTGCAGACAAATGGGAGGGGGACAAGTCCCCAGGAAGCAAAAACCGGATACCGGCGAATACATGGACGCTTACTCAGCCAGACGAAACAAGGCGAGTGCCAGGCCACCACCAGGTGTCAAGCTCTTCCAGTTCAGAAATACGCGCAGACTCCTCGGTGGCGCTAACGTGCGCTCTCTCAGCGGCCTGTCCCGTGACGACGCACAAAAGCTACAGAATTTCCCGTAATTGCCAAAATTCATCTTTTAGTGCGTGGCTTGAGGGCACACGCACTGATCTCGAAGTGTCCAATCCAAAGCAGCAGAGGAGTGACGACACTGGTTGCAGTAAGTGGACAGAACCTGAGGTTGGTGACGCGAAAGGAGAACGAGACCGGAAAAAAAAACAGGTCCAGAAAGCGTTGACCGAAACTCGAGAAAGTGGGACGACCTTCATGCATCTCAGCATCACGGACCGAGGTCACAATTCCAACGAGCGGCCAAT